GAGCCCGTTCAATTCGGGTCCGCGCTATAACTGAGAGGAGTCGGAATCGTTTTATCTTCTGAACCAAATTAACATGAGCGCTGTATAAATTGAGGTCATATTGGGAGGAAGGAAGGCTCAGTGGTGGATGCTCCAGCTCCGTTTCGAGTAAGGCTCGGGATGAAGACATGCATGTAAGCAGGAGAAGCCCGTCCCCCAACCAATTTGTTTCTTGTGGTCAATTCACCTTTTGAAATGAGGGAAAATGCTGCAGGAAGCAAGGTTGAACTCAAGGTGAGGAACGAAGGGTTCACCCCTGTTTCATGTGCGATGGAAATTACAAGTACATGAAAGCAGGAGCAGCCCGTTCGCCTCGGGCCCAGGCCATGAGGTGTGAAATGTTGTTTTTTTGTTCTTGAACTACACCACAAACTCGGGAAGAGAATGTTGCGTAAATCAAGCTAGAAAGAACGGCTCGTGGTGAATGGTCCACACCTGTTTCTTGTGGTTTATTGGAAAACATCATAAAGCAGGAGATGCCCGTTCGATTCGGGCCCGGGTTATGCGCGCGCCCTTGAAAACCTTTTCTTTCTCTGTTGCATTACACCACGACTCAAACAGTGAGAAATGCTGAAGAAATCGAGCTTAAATTAAGAGGGAGTAAGGCTCGGTGGTGGATGGTCCACACCTGTTTCTCGTATCTTTGAACTCGTAGATGCAAGCAGGAAGAGCCCGTTCGATTCTGTCGGAAAAAAGTCAAATTACTTGGAAGGGCTTGAATCAACTTGTGGCCTTGAGACGGATTGCGGGCAGTTGCAATCCACTCAGCTATGCCTTCGAGTCTCTCACAAGCCGTTGCTAGGTATGTAAAGACTCGCAAGGAGTCCCAAGCCGTGACAGGGCACGCTAGGGTGACTCGCAAGGAGTCACAAGCCAAGGCAAGGCACCCAGGACTTGGCAAATCTTCAGATGACTCGGAGACAATTTTATCTTCCCATTAACCAGTACCTGGAGTGACACAGGGACATTTGGTCAATATTATTTATATACAGATACATGTCGGATACATGTCTCTTGCTCACCGGGGTTATCTGCGGATTGCCGAGAGGTGTGGAGCTGGGTGGAGCGTCAACCCGGTGGCTCGAGCAAGGTACATAACTCAGTTCATGTCCTTCAAAACATGTACCTACATATACATGCGTGGTTGAATACTTTGTCGAATGACTCTTAGTAGTGTCTCTTAGACTTATTACAGTATACTTACTTGTGTATCAATTGAATCGGTACCTTTGAATAGTAGATATACTAAGAGAATAAGAGAATGTGGTAGCAGCGGTAATTCTTTTATTATTTCTGGTAGCATGCTTTCTGCACCTTGCGACCGACTGCAAGACCATTTGGCACGGGGAACCTTGAGAGCCACGGCGTGGCTTGGAAGTGGCCTCAAGAACCTGACATGTGTGCTGCAAGCCACTCACAACCAAATGACCTTGTAACGGCTCCGAACATATTCGGAGCTGTTGAGTGCAATTTATTTTTTTTGCGACATCGGGTCCGAGCCATCGTTTTCTTTTCTTGTCTGTTGACACGACGATCTCAACTTTTTAGCGTGGAAAGTAAAATACTGCGTAAATTGAGCGTAAATTAAGAGGAAGGAAGGCTCGGTGGTGAACGGTCCACATCCGCCGTTCTTGAAATGGTTCTGCTACAATTCACCTTTTAAAATGAGGGAAAATGCTGTATGAGGTAATGTTAAATTAAGAGCAGGGGAAGCTCGGTGGTGGTTGGTGCACGGCTGTATTCCTTGACCATTGACACAAAGGGTTCAAGCAGGAGGAGGCCCGAGCCAAATTTTTCTTGTCTCAAAGGTGAACATTTCAACTTTTGAACCATAACTCACAAGTCAAATGCTGAATCAATCAAGCTTGATTTAGGAGCATGTAAGGCTCGGTGGTGGATAGTCCACACCCGCATTCGTGGATCGAATATTAAGCAGGAGGAGTCCGGGCCCGGGCCATGAGATGTGAAATGTCGGCTTTAAATGTCGGCTTTTTGTTCTTGAACTACACCACAAACTCGGGAAGAATGTTGCGTAAATCGGGGCTGAATTGGGAGGAGTAACAGCTCGGTGGTGGATGGTCCACGCTTGTTTCTTCTGCTCGACAGATTGAGGGATGCAAGCAGGAAGAGCTCGTTCGATTCGGGTCCGAGCCATGAGCATACAGTTGGAATTCTTTCTTTTTATTTTTGAACTACAGTACAACTCGCAAAGAAAATGTTGCATAAATTGCGGTTGACTTAGGAGGATGGAACGGCATGGTGTTGGATGGTCCACACCTGTTTCCGGCAAGTTTCCGGTGTGACTACGGTAGATCCGAGTCAAGCAGATGTGCAAGCAGACCAGGAGAGCCCGTTTGAGTCGGGTCCGAGCCATTTCTGTGTTTATTACTGTTCCAGTGAGCACTACATACTTTTAACTGGAATCAGATGTTGCATAGATGAACATTGAGCTCAAGGACAGGCGCTGGCTGGATCATAGTCTCTGGATCATTGATCGGATCTCCAATCTAATCTAATCTGCACGCCACTCGCTGCTTGGCTCTTGCAGCGATGGAAGCGTCGATGAGCATTGAGCACCAGCACCAACACAATCCGAACGCTACCAGCCCGCCCCAGTCCAGTGCCCTCGTCACCACCCTCGCCGCCGTCCAGCCCGTCCCTCTCCGCCTCGGGCTCATCCGTCTCCTCATTCCCGTCGGTCTCTAGTTCCTTCTTCTTCAGCTCCGCCGCCGCCAGCCCCCCGCACCCACCACACACCCGCCACTCCCCGCCCGAGGACGACGGAACCCTCATCGTCCCGTCCCTCACCCTCCCCGCCCCGCTCGCCTTCACCTCGCCCCAACAGGCGGTACGCACGCCCACGCCCACGACGCACGTGCACGTCCTCGACTCGCCGGCCGCCGCCGCCGCCGCCCTCGATCCCGCCGTCTGGAGGCCCAACGGCCCGTTTCGTGTCATGCGCAACCAGCCTAGTTCAGTACCGGCGCCGTCGACCTCGTGGCCCTCGGCGATTCTATCTACGAAGTTCCTGCCGCCTCGTGTGCTCACCCATTAGACGTCCCGATGCCGTTCCACGCGATACCCGCTGCTACTCTGCTTTATACTGCGCTCAAGACCTGTTGGATTCCCTTGCCCCAATGCTACATCTACCGGTGCCACCCACTCTAGCGTGTACTGCTACTCCGGCCTCGGTCGACATCCCGCCTTGTGCCTCCCCTTGTCTTGCCCTCTCCTCTGCGTCCGCTTTTCCCTCTTCCTCCCGCCCAATATCTTCCCTGCCCCTTCGTCTACCTCCCAAGCTGTGTATGTACACGCTGTGCCTAAATTTCCTTGATCCAGATTCAGCCATTCGGTGATATGAGGTTTCGCTCGCATAAAGTATTGGATAAATTTACCTTGAATTGGGAGCAAGGAAGGTTTGGCGATGGATAGATCCACCCCTGTTGAAACTAATTTTGGGAGAGTGCATGCAAGCAGGAGGCCGATCTCTCGCTATTTGTTGTTCTCTCTGTTTGCCGACTGAACGCAAGCGTAGATCATCCACCATCGAGCCTTCCTGACCCGAATTCAACCCTGATTTACACGGAATCGTTCCCCGGAAACGAGAAAGAGAAAGAAAAAGGTGGCGCGACTATGGCTCGGGCCAGGCTCCTCTCGCTGTATATATTTCCCACCACCAACTGAATGCGATTGTGAGCCATCCACCACCGAACCTCCCTCCGTCCCATTTCAACCTCGATTTATACAGTATTTTACGTGCGAGTTGTGATTCAAAAAGTTCACCTCAAAACACAAGAAAACAATGACTCGGGCCTGAATCGAACAGGCTCCTCTCGCTTATATGATGAACACCTCAGGCCCTACTGAACGCGAGTGTGGACCATCTACCACCGAGCCTCCCTTCCTCCCAATTTAAACTAAATTTAAACGGCATTTTCCTTGCGAGTTTTTTGTGGTCAAAAAGTCGAACCGTTCGCCTCAACGGAAGAGAAAAAAAAAGATGGCTTGGGCCTGAATCGAACAGGCTCCTCTCGCGGTAAGTATTCTTTCTAGAGGCCACCGCACTGGGTGCGAGCGTGGACCATCCACCACCAAACCTTTCTCCCTCCCAAGTCAACATAAATTTACCCAGCATATTTCCTGTGAGTTGTGGGTCAAAATTGAAAACGTTGAAGCGCGCGTCTCAACTTGAACGCAAAAAAAATTGGCTCAGGCCTGAATCGAACAGGCTCCTCTCGCTGTAAGCATTCCTCCGAAGGATTTCTTTACTGAATGCGAGTGTAGACCATCCACCACCGCGCCTCCCTTTCTCCTAATTCAACCTCAATTTACGTAACATTTTCGTTGTGGTTCAAAAGTTCTCCCCAACTTGAACACGCAAAAAAAAAAGGTTTGGCTCGGGCCCCACTTGACCAGGCTCATCTCGCTCTATTTCTCTTCCCAGTTGCCCGATCCTCCCCTCGGTCTACTTTGACCTCGATTTTTATCGCATTTTCCTTGCCGTTCAAAAAGAAAAAAATAGAATCATCAATCATGGCTCGGGCCCGAATCGAACAGGATCCTCTCGCTTTCATGAATGTCAAATTACAGTCAATGCTAAACGCGAGGGTGGACCATCCACCACCGAGCCTTTCTTATGCTGATCTCAGCTCTGGGATATGCAGCATTTTTTTTCCATGTTCAATTTTTTTTTTCAATTTTCATCTCAACTTGAACACCAAATAGTATAGCTTTGACTCAGGCCCGAATGGAACGGACTCCTCTCGCTTTAAGTGTGCAGTCTCGTACTAATTGAACGCGAGTGTGGCCATCCACCATTGAACCTCTCTCCCTCCCAATTCAACCCTATTTTACCATCATTAATTATTGCAACCCTAGTTCAAACTTAAGCCCATCTCAACCGAACACGCATCCCAACTCGCACTGACACTCATATATACCCCACACCCCAGAATAATAACGCTTGTGTAGATCAGTGGTAGATCACCTCTACTTCATACTTGCGAAAAGTTTTGGTTTCACGAGGAGGCGGAGGTTCGAATCCTCCTACGGGCATTCTTTTTGCGCTATTACATAGCGGTAGGTCCAGGCTTTCTTTTATTTCTTTCACTCTCATCTCGACTTGAGCCTTGAATCACGCTCGGAACAACCAACCTGCCGTTCGTCAGGCTCATTCAAATTCAACCCCATCTCCCAAATACGCATCCCAACTCGCACTGACACGCATAAATACCTCCACGCCCGAGGCTAATCATGCCTGTATAGATCAGTGGTAGATCGCCTCTACTTCATGAGCGGTTGGTACAGTATTGATTTCACGAGGAGACGGAGATTCGAATCCTCCTATGGGTATTCTTTTTACGTACAATATTACATAGCGCACTTCTTTTATTTTTCACTCTCATCGACCCTTGAATCACCAGGCTCGGAACAACCAACCTGCCGTTCAGCCTCATTCAAATTTAACCCATCTCAACCGAACATGTACAAATCCCAATACCCATAAAATACCTCCACGCCCCACAATAATCAATGCCTGTATAGATCAGTGGTAGATCACCTCTGCTTCATATCCAAAAAACCCACTCTCGTGGGGAGCCGGAGGTTCGATTCCTCCTGCGGGCATCCAAATTTTCTCTAAACTTTTTAGCGTAGCATTTTACCTTTCACTTCCTCCCACCCCCACCCTCCTCCTGCTCCTGCTCTCACTCTCACTCTCACTCTTACTCTTATCGTAAGCACGAGCAATACATTATACTATACACTATACACTATACAACACACCACGTCTACGGCACGGCGACTCCGCGGGATAAAGAATACAATATACAATAGGTATGTACAGTCAATGATACAATGCGATGGGTGAATGTCGTGGATCGTAGCTTAGACTAGTGGTCAGAAAACGTAAGGAACTGTGCGCTGGGGTCGGAAGGGACTGGGGTCGCAGCTGCGTTGGTCGCAGGCGGAGGAGATAGAGAAAATACGGATTCGTGGAGGGTGAGGGTGTGTTGAGGAGTCGTCGTTGTTGGTAGTGAAAGAATCGGTGGCGGAGAAGCGGATGTAGAGGTGGACATGTTGTGGTAGATCGCATGGGACCACAAAGGTATGAACGGGAGTCGGGCGGAGTACGTCGCGAAGCCGGGGTATGCATATCGACCAGTCGTGGTGTTGGGGAATCGAGTGAACGTGCCAGACGCAAGCTAGACTGGAGTTCGGTGGCGTACGTGGAGATGCGCGTCGTGTCGCGTTCACGGTCTTGGGCGAGCCGGAAGGACGGACGCGGGCGCACAAAGTCGAGAAACCGTTCTCCGAGAAATCCTACTCCGAGCTAGTGTCGGATCTAGTTCAGGGCCTGGAGGGACACCGTTGAGGAGAGCCAGAGACACGACGCGAGAGCCAGTCTCGCGCCGTTCGTTCGATCGCGGGAGGCCGTCCTCGTAGCTGCTCACGGACGTCGTTCATGCACCTACGCCCGCCTTGCTGCGTCCGCTCCGTCCACGGCACCGGATATGAAGCGCAGCCCAGACGCCGCCTCCCCCATATATCCCTCCCTCATCTCCCCATCTCATTTCTCCCCGGGGTCCAGCCCAACAACTCAATACACCCCCCCCCCTCTCTCTTATTCCCTCTTTCCCCCCTACCACCCCCACCAAACAACCCCCGCCCCCCCCAACACAACCCCCACCACGAACGCGCCCACCCGGCCCCACGGCACGCCCACCCTTCCCCGCCGCACCACGTCGCCCACCACGTCGCCCACCAGCCTGAGTAGGGCGGGCAGGTGCAAAGGGTCCGAGGCGTAGATGGAGGGGGTGTAGTGGAGGTGGGGGTGGGGGGTGTAGAGCGGCGGCGCTTTGTCTTGCGGGTGATAGAGGGGCGCGTGGGGCTGCGAGTCGGCATCCCCCTCCTTATACACGCCCCTCCACTGCGGTGCGTACGCGTACACGTCGCGCGGGCCCGGGCCTGAGAAGGATGTGTGCGGGGCCACGTTCGCATTCATCCTATTCATCTCCGGCGCGTACGGGTTCACGTACCCGTACACCCCCGCCCCCGGACCCAGCGCCGGGAACGACCGGCGCCACCAGCGCACGAAGAGCGCCGCCGCCTCTGTGCGCAGGGGCCCAAGGGGGATCGGCGGGTGTGTCTCCTCGGATGTGTGCTCTCCTTTCGTGTGCTCATGGGATGCGTGTTCATGGGATGCGTGCTCCCCATCGGCGTGCGCAGGGTGCGCACGGCGGTACGTCTCCGTGCGCTCGTAGACGTGCCTCGAGTGCAGGCGTGCGGTCGGCGGCTCCGGCTCGGCCCCGTCCCCGTCCCCATCCCCGTCCCCGTCCCCATCCCTGTCTGCGTCCATATTGCCGGAGTGCGAGCGGGAGTGCGAGTGGGAGTGAGAGGCGGAGGCGGAGGCGTACAAGCGAGAGGAGGCGCCGATGGAGGGCGACGAGGACGCAGACGCAGAGGTGGAGTGCGAGGGCGAGGCGGCGTGCGAGGGGAATGCGGAGCTGGGGGGGACGCCGGGGGCGTTCGAGGTCGAGGTTGATGTTGTCGAAGTGGACGCCGAAGTGGAAGAAGGGGCGGGGGAGGCGTCGGCGTTGGTGTTAGCATTTGCAGCGTTGGATGGATGAGGAGAGGGAGGGGTGAGGGGGAGGACGTAGATGGGCACGAGGCGGCGGAGGGCGGGGGGGATGTCCGCAGCAGTGGTAGTAGTAGTAGATCGTGGCGCTAGATTAGATGGGATTGTAGCAGATGGCGGTCGTACGAGGTCCAGGGCAGCATCCGAGCCGCTCGCACACTCCGGCGGGACGATAATCAGGGCGGTATAGAGCGGGCTCGCGGGGCCGGCCAGCAGCGCCGCCAGCAGCGCCTCCGCTTCCGGGTCGTCGTCGTGCAGCGGCGGGGGCGCAAGCAGCGCGGTGAGGGCGTAGAACGGCTTCAGGAGGAGGCGCTCGAGGCTCGCGATGTCCACCTGCAGCACCGCCAAATCAGCATATGGATTGACAGGGAGAAGGAAGCAAGTACCTCGTGGATGGAGTCACCGAGGGCGACGAGCTCGACGGCGGTGCCGTTGGCGGTGGACTGGGTGCGCAGGACGCGGAAGGGGCCGTCGGGCGCCCAGGCGGTGGGATCGGCGGCATCGAGGGCGGAGGCGGCGACGGCCGGCGGGCCGAGGACGAGCACGCGCGTCGTGGGCGTGGGCGTGCGTGCCGCCTGTTGGGGCGAGGTAAAGGTGAGCGGGGCGGGGAGGGCGAGGGACGGGATGATGAGGGTGCCGTCGTCCTCGTGCGGGGCGTGGTGGGTGTGTGGTGGGTGTGGGGGGCTGGCGGCGGCGGAGCTGAAGAAGAAGGAGCTGGAGACGGAGGGGAAGGAGGACACGGACGAGCCCGAGGCGGAGAGGGACGGGCTGGACGGTGGCGAGGGTGGTGGCGAGGGCGCGGGGCTGGGGCGGGTGGGTAGCGTCCGGATTGTGTCGGCGCTGGTGCTCATCGACGCTTCCATCGCTGCAAGAGCCAAGCAGGGTGTGGCGTGCGTAAGCAGAGATATTAATAAGATTAGATTGGAGATCCGCGCCTGTACGTTGTCTTTCCTGAAATGGTGTGACATGAAGAATGATGCATTAATGATGGCTGAACCGAACAACTACTCTCCCTTACAGAAAGCAAGTGTGGACTACCGAGCGGCGAGCCTTCCTTTTCATCGAAACAACCTCCATTTATGCTTTCAAAAAGTTAAAACTGTTCGCAATAATGGCTCGGACCCGAATCGAACGGGCATCTCCTGCTTGCACAGAAACGAGTATTACACAAGAAACAGGTGTGGACCGTCCACCACCAAGCCTTCCTTCCTCCCAATATAACCTCAATGTGTCCAGTACTTGGTTCAGAAGATAAAGCCATGACTCGGACTCGAATATTCCTGCTTTTAGTTTCAATCCCTTCCATGCTTACATTAAACAGATCATCCACCACTTCACCGTTCCTGTCCTTGCATCCAGCCTTGCTTCATGCTAATCTCCAGGTGGTTCAGAATTTGGAATGCGCATCCCAGGAAAAAGATGGCTCAGGCCCGAATCGAACGGGCTCCTCCGGCTTGCACGATTATTCCTTCTAACAGAAAGCTGGTGTGGACCATCCACCACCGAGCCGGTCCTCCCTCCCATTTAAAGTTTAATTTACACTACATCTTCTCCATGTGCCTAGTTCAAAGTTGAACTGTTGGCCTCAACACAAGGCAAGAGAAGGAAAAAGATGGCTCGGGCCCGAATCGAACGGGCTCCTCCTGCTTACATGAATCTGAATCGTTCAAGGAATGCAGGTGTGGACCGTCCACCACCGAGCCGTTCCTTCCTCCCAACTCATCCTCTATTTGTAGGGCATTTCCGACTGCGATTTGTGGTGTAGTGCAAAAGAAAAGGAAAAATCATCGAAGCTCACGCTATGACCCGGACCCGAATCGAACGGGCTCCTTCTGGCGGTTCGAATGTTTCGATCGCAAGGAAAGCAGGCGTGAACCATCCACCACCGAGCCGTTTCTTGCCTCAGCTCAACCTTGATTCATCATCCTGTGTGGTTGAAAAGTTGAATTGTTGACTACAAATCGAGAGAAAAAAATTGGCTCGAACGGCGACACGTACACAGGAAACAGGCGCGGACCGTCGATCATCGAGCCTTTGCTCCCAATGCAATTGTGTTTACGCGGAATTTACTTGTGGTTCAAAAAGTTGAGCTGTTCACCTCGCCACGAGACCCAAAAAAATGGCTCGAGCCCGAATTGAACGGGCTCCTCCTGCTTGCACTGGCCGGACTGCATTTCTTTTTACAAAAAGCTGGTGTGGACCGTCCACCACCGAGCCCTCCCCAATTCAACATCGATTTATGCAACATTCATCCCGAGTTTGTGGTATGGTTCAAGAACAAAAAGACGACATTTTACACATGACCCGGGCCCGAATCGAACGGACTTCTCCTGCTTAATATTCAATCCACGAACCGATATCGAATGCAGGTGTGGACAATCCACCACCGAGCCTTACATGCTCCTAAATCAAGCTTGATTAATTCAGCATTTGACTTGTGAGTTAAGCTGAAATGTTCACCTGACCACAAGACGAGACAAAAAATAAATAAAGTCGTGCATTAGCTATTTTCGGTCATTAATAACTCCTTGATGGCTTTTCAGAGCGCCCGAGGGCTTCAAATGGAAGGCATACATCCTGTGAACAAGTGAAGCCCACCTACGCCAATTTTAGTGATGTTTTGACTGTGTGGCGAATTTATTTCGGTCAAAACTCCCAAATAGGCAATTGACACGGTACCCATCGAGCCTCCCCTGCTCTCAATTTAACACTGCCTCATACAGCATCTCACTTGCGCCGTGTTCAAAAGGTTGAAAAGTTCACGAAAGAAAATGGCCCAGGCACGAATCGAACGTACTTCTCCTGCTTGCATGATGGGGAGCGATTTCAATTCACTGACAAGAAACAGGTGTGAACCATCCACCACCGAGCCGTTCCTCTCCTTGAATTCAAACTTGATTTTATGCCGCACTTTTCCCGCGTGGTTGAAAAGCTGAGATGTCCACCTGACCGCAAGGTGACAAGACAAGAAAAAGATGGTTCCCTGGTTGCATGTACCAGTGATTTTCATAGTGCATGGAACAGGGGCGAGCCGTTCACCACCGTGCCTTACTTTCACCAAATTCAACCCGGTTTTATGCAGCTGTTTCTCCGGTTCAAACACAGGTGGGCTTCATCCTCCACCGAGCCGTTGTTCGCGCTGGTACTGACATCCATTTATGCATGAATCTTGGACTCCAGTCGGTGCAGGAACCAAAAAAAATCATTGCCACCAATACATGGCTCGGGCCCGAATCGAACGGGCTCTTCCTACACGAATTCACTTCAGTTCGCACCAAGGAAAGTAAGCCGTGGACCATCCACCACCGAGCCTTTCACTGCGTTCCGACCCCATGTAGACTGACCCCTGTCTACCTTAAGTTACATGCGGCGACGTAGTGGCGACATGCGGCGACATGAGGCTATACACGGCTACCTGTGTGTACGCCGTGATGTTCGGCGCGCTTATGTTACGTCCGTCTACATGCCGTCTACATGCCGTACACGAACCGTCCGCCACATAAGTCGACCTGCGTCTACGCCGTCGACGCACTTAGACGCACCTCAACTTAGGGCCATTTCTGACGCTCTATGGTACAGGTCAGGCATTACCCTTCCTGATTATTCTGCAGGCATGCCGGTAAGCCTCGGTCTTTGAGCTCCATATTATAAGCTTCCGGGATCAGCCCGGCCATCAACACGCCTGTGTGTGTGGCTACGTCGGTCCACGTGCGTGTACATCAGTCTAGGTGAGTAGACCAATTTAGATTGATGTAGACATAGGTAGATCAACTGTGTCTACGTATCGTAGACACAGGTAGACAAAGGGGTCTGTCTGCCCTTTATGTACGGGGGTAGATGAACCCTCTGTCTACGGGGGTGGGAACGCAGTGCTTCCTTTCCTTCAATTCAGCCTTACTTCATGCTAATTTCCGTGTGGTTTAAAAGCTGAAGTGTTCATCTCAACTTGAACACAGCAAGAAGATGGCCCGGGCCCGAATCGAACAGGCTCTCCCTGCTCTAGAAAATTTCCTCACACATGAAACAGGTGTGGACCATCCACGGACCACCACCGAGCCTTCCTTCCTTTCACATCAGACTTTTGACAGCTGACCTTGTGGCCTTGTACAAGGCCAAACAAGGTCAAACAAGGTCCAAAAAGGTCGCAAGCTCACAAGGCCGCAAACCAAGTTTGAATTTTCACAAGCTTCAAAAAAAATCCCAAATCTTTTTTTTTCAAGGTGTCTCCTGGTCGTGTTTCACATTTTTATTGGGGGTCTTTTTTAGGTTTGAGCTTGTGAGCTTGTCAGCAAGCTCACAAGGTCGAACAAGGCCCAAGGGATTTGTCAGATGGCTGATGCAGTTCAACTTCAATTTATTCAGCATTTACTTGTGACTTGTAGTTCAAAAGTTGAAATGTTCAACTTGAGCGCAAGAAAAAGATGGCTGGGGCCCGAATCGAACGGGCTCCTCCTGCTCAATATCTGAAACTTAATCATTGAAGGAATGTAGGTGTGGACCACCCACCACCGATCCGTTCCTGCCTCCCATATAAATTTATTCAGCATTTTTCACTCTTAGTTGTGGTGTAGTTCAAAAAGAGAAAGAAAAAGTTTTTAAGGTCGCGCGCATGGCTCGGGCCCGAATCGAACGGGCTCCTTCTGCTCAATTTTTCTGCGTTGACGTTTCCATCGAAAGGGAAGCAGGCATGAAGCATCCACCACCGAGCTGGTCCTTGCCTCAGCTCAGCGCTCAACCTTGATTCATCCATCCTATGTGGTTGGAAAGTTGAATTGTTGACCACAAATCGAGAGAAAAAATTGGCTCGAACGGCGACACGTACACAGGAAACAGGCGTGGACCTTCGATAATTGAGCATTCCCTCTCAATGCAATTGCGTTTGCACGGAATTTTGTTTGTGGCTCAAAAAGTTGAGCTGCTCACCTTGTCAGAGCGAAAGAAAAAGATAGCTCGGGCCCGAATCGAACGGGCTCCTCCTGCTTGCATACGAGACTACACCAGATATGAAACAGGTGTGGACCATCCACCACCGAGCCTTCCCTCCTCATAGCTCAAGCTTGATTTATTCAGCATTTTACTTGAACAAAAGAAAAATATGGCTTGGCGCGGACCCGAATCGAACGGGCTCCTCCTGCTTCAAGCTTGCACTAGCAGGACTGCATTTTTTTTACAGAAAACTGGTGTGGACCATTCACCACCGAGCCGGTCCTCCCCTTCCATTTCAAATTTGATTTACGCTGCATCTTCTTCATGCACGTAGTTCCAAGCCGAATTGTCCGCCTCAACCCAAGAGAAGGAAAAAGATGGCTCGGCCCGAATCGAACGGGTTCTCCTGTTTGCACGCCTTTTGGCTACAACTGTACAAGAACAAGGTGTGGACCATCCACCACCGAACCTTCCTTCCCCCCAATTTAACATCGAGTTATGCAGCATTTTACTTGCGATTTATAGTTAAGTTGTAATGCTCAACTTATAACAGAAAAAAGATGGCTCGGGCCCGAATTGAACGAGCTCCTCCTGCTTGTACCCGTGGCTACACCTACACAAGAAACAGGTGTGGATCATCCACCACCGAGCCTTCCTTTCTTTCAGTTCAACTTCAATTTGTTCAGCATTTTACTTGCGACTTGTAGTTCAAAAGTTGAAATGTTCAACTTGAGCGCAAGAAAAAGAGATGGCTCGGGCCCGAATCGAACGGGCTCCTCCTGCTTGCATGAAGTTCCTTTGCTGCTACCTTACAACAAAGAGGTATGGACGATCCACCACCGAACCGTTCCTTCCTCAAAAGTGGAGCTCGATTTATGCAACATTTTACTTGTGAGTTATAGTTATAGTTCAAAAGGTGAAGTGTTTATCCTAACTTGAACGGAGTAAAAACAATTGGGTTCCTCCTACTTAAACATCTCACCCTGCACGCTACAAGAAACAGGTGTGGACTACCTCGCCGTAATTCCTCCCCGTTCAAGTTTACTTAGTATTTCTTTGTGAGTTGTGGTTCGAAAAATCAAACTGCGTATCTCGACTCGAACAAGAAAAATATAGCTTGGCCCGGGCCCGGATTGAATGAGCTCCTCTTGCTTAAACCATCTTCGGAAGATGTCCCCTTTACAGGAAGCAGGTGTGGACCATCCACCACCGAGCTTTTACTTACCTTGAATTCGACCTTGATTTATGCCGCGTTTTCTCCATGTGGTTGAAAAGTTGAAGTGGTCATACTTATCTCAACTTGAACAGAGCAAAAAAGATTGCTCGGGCCCGAATTGAACGGGCTCCTTCTATGCTTAAGCATTGTCCCCCACGCTATAAGAAACAAGTGTAGACCATCCACCACCGAGCCGTTCCTTCCTCTTAAGTCAACCTTGATTGTATGCTGCATTTTTTCCATGTGGTTCAAAAAGTTGAACGCTTTTAACCAACCACAAGGCAAAAGAAAAATAAGGCTCAGGCCCGGCTTCTCGCTTAAATCCCACCATAGTGCTTGAATGGATGAATTTTCTGGGGAGTATGAGCCCGTGAACCTTGTAGCCCTTTGAACCGTTTATTCTTGGAGGATAATCCACGGCCGCTTTTTGTAATTACTCTCGAGTTGAAATAATTTCTACTAGCAGTGAATTGTGTAGGGACAATTCTCTTTTAACGATCGATTATATTCCACTCCCAGACAGCCGCTGAAATATTCGATGATCGATTCGACAGAAGGCACGCGAGCGAATGTGGTGGTTGAAACCCGAAAAATCAACAAATGGACTGGGAATTCATTCTGGGAAGCCAGGACGGTAATGTTCCAAGTTGAAATCGTTCAGAATTTGCTGGAGCGCAGGAACTAATTAAATGACTTTGTGATGCTGCCGAAAGTTCGGTGTCGGAAATTCCTGGATGCTTCTAGTATACGCTCATGCTCAACCTCACATGTGCCTCGGTCAGGATTAAACGCAAGAAACGGGTTCCCGATCCGATTTAGATACGTAGCCTATTAAAGGAGAGTCAGTGTAGTCCAATACCGCCGATGTTGACTCACCTCATTGTGCCTGCCTGCGACGACTCACGCTTCGGTGTTGTCCACAACCCGCTCAACCATCATCTCCAGAACCATCATCCTCTGGGGCTTATCCAGGCTGTCTCTTATCTCGTCCCGCGACACGTCCCTGTCGAGGCTCCCCCACTCGTCCTCGCGTGCATATACTTCGATTCCCCGACGGTTCACCTGAGCGGTCCACCACTCAGGCAGGATCCCCGCGCGCTCGACCCTATCCAGCCATTCGCTGAAGTCCATGTTCTGGACGTCCGAAGTGATGCGCGCCGCGTTCAGATGCGACCCCATGCGCATGAGACGGTACGCGTTGACCAGGTCCGCATAAACGAGCGCAGACCTGTCCGCGGTGTAGCCGAACATGGGCGCGAAGAACACGCCGCGGGACGATATGGGGGCGGCCAGGCCGCTAAATATGTTGAACATTGTGCCGAAGGGAGACTGGTTAAACTTGGGCTTTTCGGCGCCTTTCGAGTGGGATTGGCACTGTTTCTTGTGTTTAGACCAGTCCTGCGGGCGAGTATAAGTGAAAGACAGCGAGGAAAGTGGTGTTTTTCACTTTTTTCTGACACTCGAGACTACAGTAGGCACGCGCCTTGCACCGTCCACATCGACTATTGCCTGACGAAGGGTAGACATTCAGAGTGAAATAAACGAAAGCATGTATGCCCACCTTGTTGCGTACAGTCGGATGCAGCACATTGGGCCATAATGGTACGTAGGAAAAAACGAAAGAGGTGGTTCGGCGATCTCCCATTGTTCGAGGACCCTGCGAGGATTACGTCTGCATCACTGTTTGAAACTCGGAAATTGGTTCGCTTCCGGCATGGCCATTCCCTAAACGAAGTCATTATTCCCATGTTGTTCCCATGCCCATCGACTCGCGATCGCGTTGGATCCCAATTATTCATCCGGTCGAGCTTACCTGTGTGTCGACGAAAGCCAGATGTCTCTCACCTGCAGGTGGGGAAAAAATATGGCGGAGAGGCGTCCAGACTCTGGCTCGATTTAGCTTAGCCTTGAGGCCGCCACAGTGGTTGTCCCACGCCTGGAACTTGCACGTAAATGAACTCGTGCCCGTTCCACATCGGTCCACAAGCATCTGAGTCATGGACCATTTTCCCGCCGAGCTGGAGGACACGATCATCGACCTTAATCATTCAGATCTCGCTACTCTCGCCTCCTGCGGCCTCGTCTGTCGCAGCTGGCTTCCGTCCAGCAGATACCACCTGTTTTCGTCGATATCCTTGAACGAGAACAACGCCGCATCATTCCTCGCCATCTCGAAATCGTCGTTGACCAACATACCAGCCGTGGTCCGAGAAGTCGAGCTCCATTTCTCCCGAGAGTCCCTTCCCAATCTAATCTCAATCCTGTCGCTGTTGACTCAAACCAAGCGCCTGAGGCTTCTTCCACTCCGGGATGAAGTTGCCTACGCAGATGTCGTGGCGCGCGTTGGTTCGGATTGGGCCTCGCGGATGAACATCCTCCACAAGTTCGATTCCTTCGCGCAGGTCCTCGACTGCATTTGTCTCTGTCCACAGCTGCAATCCCTGGAGATCCGCGGTGTCTGGAAAGAAATGGGAGATTTGAGTCTTCTTTCCTCGCTCCCCAAATCGTTGCGCACATTGGATCTGACATGCGACCTCGACTTTTTCTTATCCTGGCTTCTCACGCTGGATGAGATACCACAAATCTCCGATTTAACCTTACGATCCATCAGAGTGGGCGAGATACCGGTGGTGACGAATCACCTGCGCATTCTTGGCTCCGCGCTTGAATCTCTGAAGCTTACGTTCCAAGATTACGATGCGCCAGGTGCGTGAATGTTCGCAATGTGCTTATAATCATTCATATTACACCGCACAGTCGTCCTTTCGAGAAAGATGGATCTTACCAAGAACAAAAACCTAAAAAACCTCAGTCTCGAGGGGCGCGCGCTCGGTACCCTCGCGTCGCTTTCGGAGGCCGTTTATCAGATGCATGCGCCCGGAGTGGAAGCCCTCTCCATCCGCATTCGCAACCGGAACGATGCCCCGGAGGGTCGGCAAGCTTGCCTGACATATCCCTGGGCTATAATGGACAACATGTTCACCGGGCCGACATACCAGTCGATGAGAAGCTTTAGCGTGGATGTGATAGAGACTTCGACGCACCGAGATATTCGCGAGAGAGACGTAATTGCATATATCTCGGGACAGATGCCGTTGTTACGTGCAAGGGGAATGCTTGTCACGCTGTGAAAATATTTTACTCCGAGTCCGGTTCTTATATGCACCACCATTTTGGTACGACTATTGTATGTACCACCATTTTGTACGACTACGGTTGAATTTTACTTGGCTTAAAAAAAAATTATATTAAGGGAAAGTGACAGGAAACCTGCCCAGAAGATGATATCAAGTAGCTGAAATATCAATGTGTCGAACCCATTCGCCTGAAATCTTTTTGCATGAGAATCGTTCAGTTTCAACCAATGCTTATGTAATTCATACACGTGCTTGATGTCGGTGTACAGTATCTACTGACCTGTCACCTATAGCTAATAACTATTAGACCTGCAGGATTTAACGAAGAATGTCAATAGGGTATCTTTCCATTTTAACTGTCCACTTTGAATCCAGGGTCGACGCACGAGCGTTTTGTTAATACAGCGTGTTCCAGAAATTCCACGGAGAACAACTTGGGAGACACCGGTAACGTCTGAGGTGAGACAGGCTTGACTTGGGCTTGACCTAGTCTCTTATAAACAGATGCTATGTACAAATGTTGATGCTCGTATCTCGCGTGTTTGTAGGCTTGACTGCCTCCGGCCCGTTTAAGTCCGTTTAACCACTTCACCAGGGTACTGTGATCTTGATTGTCATGAAAGTTTCTACAACGCCTTGGTTTGAAATGTGGTTGAAATGACGAGGTACCTGGCTGTCCCTGGATATTGAATCTGATCGCAACACCGTATCGTGATGGCGGGATTCTGGCGGTTCAACCTCTGGCAGGTTCTGGGCAATTTTGCTCCACGCTCCTGACTGGAATTTCACTGTTCTGGGAGAGTTCCCGATTTTAACAGAAGATAGCAGACTGCCAATTCACACATACATTCGTGAGAACAGGCCACCAGAGACACACCATTCCGCGGTGGTCCCAATAGGGTTATAAACTTTTCCTATCTGAGTACGTCACGCACGGATCGATGACGGGATAGGTTGCAGGGAGCTGGTCAACCTAGGCATCTACGACGATCCAAGATTCAAAGCTGTCCGTGTACATTTTGCACTGAGTTTTCGACAGCCGCCTCTTGTTCTCGAACAAACAGTGGCGGTAGAATATATCAACCAACCAGCCTTCGTGGGGATCCGAAATTTGGCTAGTCGATTGCATAAATAGGTTCGGGCTGTTAGTGAATCGGATCACATTTTCCCTCCTCCTATAACACATCAACATGCAAGCTTTGGGAAAATAAGTCTATGCGATGCGTTCCAATCTCAAGGTTTACCGCTGGTCTCGGGGAGATGACTACGGAGTTGAATGATGCGGGCTGCTTTACAACAGGGTAAACCATATTCGAAATGGGATCTCCCCCGTCGATCTTCTCCTCACGATCCATGGTCAATGCAGTCGACGAGGTATGTAGGTGCAGCGATTGCAGGACTATTTCACTCCCGTCGAATTTGCAGATGTGACGTATGTTGAACTACGTACGCGGTGAACCACCGGGTGGGTGAGATGTTACAGGTCTCGCCCCGTCGGTATTGTGATTGGATGGTACAGGATTGTCACCGGATTCCATTTTCGGAGGATCTGCAAGATAACCACTGCGCTACTTGAAGACGAGCGCGAAATAACGTCGAAGAGGCTGATCTAGTTGCTGGCCTTACCCCTGAAGGACCTCCATGCAGTCGGGGTTCTGTACCGCCATGCCTGTCGGAACGTAACGCCCCCCAGGTCAAAGATTTCCACCACAAAGGAATATCTTACATATATGTGTCAATTACTTCTCACCATACTTCAGTATATATCGCCCAAGATATGTTGCACCGCCAGGGCAAGTTCGGATTTCAATTTTCAACCGTACATTTGATTTTTTGTTTGATTTCCACAGATAAAAATGCTTTGGAAAATGTAAACACCTGGATTTATCAATCCTTTCCTGTACCATGGCTGTGGGTTAAATTCCGGGTTCACCATCGAACCAAGTTTCAACCAAACTTACGTAATCCGCTTCGGCATGATGTCGGCCCCGGGCCGCACTCGCTTTCCTTTGTGCCACCCATTCACTGCGTTTTGAGAAAGATGTAAACCCTAGGGAC